TTGTGGCTGTTCGGACTTGTTCATTTCTCCACGTAAGCTTTAGAACCAACTGGCCTAGTTCTGTTGCAATTCTAACTGGAATGCGGTTACACTTAAATCCAGGTCCTTTGATGGCAACTTGAGTGGTCTTTTCACACCTTGGTGCCCCCCAAGCCTAGCTTAGTTCCTACTGCTGCAGGGGCATTCCGAAAAAGGAGGAAATTATTTAAACACTGCTGTCAAATAAAGCTTTTCTCTAATTGGCCGTTCCTGGAATTGTGTTCCGTATGGGATTTTTGTGGAGCTTTAATTCTTAATGTGTTTGTAGTCCAGGCCAGAAGAAGTGCTTTGCAGAATGAAAGAAAAATGGTTACGTGAAATGCCCTAAAGTGCTTGCATTTATTATGTTGCTTTGTTTTATAACCTTTGGTATAAGAGTTGGCATTTGTAGAAGCTGAAAATGTTGACTTCTGCTCTGCAGGAGATTTTTGGCTGCCATTCTTAATGTGCATGTACCACACGCCCCCGGGCACAGCCTGATCATTTTCTACTGTGAGACATTTCCCATGTCCTTTTTTTAGGGTTTTAATATGTAAGAGCAGGTGAGCAAGGTGAGCTCTACAGGTCAGGTGAGCCCCGTTAGAGCCCGGCACCATTGCGCTCGGACTCACCGTCATTACTGTTGCAAGGGGGACTCTCATCGTCCCAGACCTCCAGGGGAGCCCTCCACGGACCGGGGGTTGCTTCATTGTGTAGTGTGCCTTCTGCTTACTCTTAATTTAACTTCTTATCTTGAGATCACTTAGATCCACACATAGCCGTAAGGAAATGACACGAGAGAGGGCCCATATTTGCTTTACACAATGCACCCTGCGATGAGGACGTTGACCTCCATACAGTCAAGATCCAGGACGTTCTTTTACCACACAGATCCCTCCTGTTGCCGTTTGGGGAGGCCACACCCACAGCCTCCCCAAACCTTGATGACCGCTAACCTGTTCCCCATTTGTACAGTGTTCTCATTTCAAGAATGTTACGTATCAATGGAATATACATGGGTCCGTGCAGTGGCCACGAGATTGGTTTTTTCCAGGAAGCCCTATTCTCTGGCGATCCATCCGGACTGTTGTGTATATCAATAGTTTGCTCCTTTTCATTGCCACATAGTATTCCATGGTATGGATGGGCCACATTTTATTCAATCATTCACCTGTTGAAGGGCGTCTGGGTTGTCCCCAGTTTGGGACTGTTAGGAATCAAGTTGCTATAAAGTCATGTTTATTACAAAAATTTTTTTTTAGTAATCTCTTCACCTGACGTGGGGCTTGAACTCGTGAGTTCAAAAGTTGCACGCTTTAACAACCAAGCCAGCCAGGTGCCCCCGGACACAGTTTGAACGTGAACCGTGTCTTCATTTCTCTGGGATAAAATGCCCATGTTCAGTTTTTAAGAAGCTGCCCAACCGCTCTCTAGAGCGGCCGCCCCGTGTTCCGGTCCCGCCGGCCACGTGCGAGGGATCTGGTTTGTCTGCGTCCGTGCCTGCGTGTGCGGTGGTCGCCGTTTTGTACGTGAGCCGCTCTCACGGGTGTGTGGGGGTGCCTCACGTGGTTGAAGCTGCATTTCCCCGGCGCTGACGGTCGCGGACCCCGTGTCGTGTGCTTTCTTGCCATCTCTCTCTCCACGTATATCCTCTATGATGATACTGGCTGTTCATGTCTCCTGTCCATTTTCTGACCGGCTTGTTTTATCGTTTAGTTTTGAGAATCTCATGTGTGTTCTATTTGGATACGTGGCTTTCAAACCTTTTCTCCCCATCTGTGGCCTGTCTTTGTGTCTCCTCAATAGGGTCTCAAGCAGGAGTGTTTCCTTTGGAGGAGCCCAGTTTGTCAGCGTTTCCTGTCACGGGTCGTGTATTGGGTGCCAGTCTGCAGGCTCTTTGCCTCATCCGAGACCCTGAGGGTTTTCTCCTGTGAATTCGTTGTTTCTCATTGAAGCCCCTTGGTCCATTTAGAGTGGGTCCCATGCAGGGTGCAGACTTGGGTGCCCCAGGGCTCCGGCACCCTCTGTGGACAGCACTGTTCCTCCTCCACGGCCCCTCGCTGGCACCGTCGTCCACAGCGTGACCTGTTGGTCAGGCCTCTCGCTAGGTCCCTTGTTCTGCGCGTCTGTCCCTCACCGACTCCACGCCGGCCTGCTGACCGGTGCTGCTCAATCAGCCGCTAAAATCAGTTAGACTTACTCCTCGCTTCCTTCTTTTTGGTGACAGCCGCTTTAAAATCTTTTTCCAGTAATTGGAACATCTCTGGGTTGGCATTCTGTTGATTGTGTTTTTTAATTCAGGTAGAGATCTTTGTGGCTCTCCGTAGGATGAATGATTTTTGCTTTGAAACCTGGACGGATTATGTTCCAAGAGTCTTACTGGAGCTTCCTGTTTCCGCTGACTTTCTCTCACGCCACTCTCTCTGTCAGGGGAGGGGGCCCCCCCTCATCACTGCCGTGCGGGTCCAGGTTCCCCACAGGCCACCGCTGACAGTTCCCAGGTTGCCGCTCTTCCGTGGCCTCCACTGACGTTGCCAGGTGGAGGCGAGTCTTGACTCCCAGATGGGCCTCCCCTGACACCCCCAGTGGGGATGAGGTGGGCACCTTGGCAGGCTCCCCGAGTGTCAGCCCTGACTGTGCGGTGCAGGTGGGAGGGTGGGGTCCGGCCGGGGAGGGCGTTTCCTCCGTCAGTTGCCTGTCGAGCTGGCAGGTGCCTGTCTTGGACCTTTGGCCACAGTCAGTTCTTGTTTGGTTCGTGTGTGTTGTCTCTGTCTGTCTCCCGGTGTTTCCAGGTTACCAGCGTCTTCGGCTCCCGGTCTGGGATAACGATGCAAAAAGCAGGCCCGGGGGGCTCCCTGCTGCACAGTTCCTTGGTCCCCAGCTCGTCTGCGACCTGGTCTGTGACCTGGCCTGCCTTCTTCCCTCCCCCCAGAGCCTTTCCGATGTTCGCTTTAGACGTCATGTCCAGGAGAGTTGCTTGTACTGAGCTGGAGGAAAGGAAAGATGACCCCTGCTCCACTGGCCACTGTGCACATCCCTTCTGCTGTTTTGAAACCGGTGTTCAGCCAGTAAGAACAGAGTGCCCTGCGCGGGTTTGAGTGTGTGTCCAGAGTTAATAGTTGGGGTTCCTCTGACGTGCCCTGTGACTGTGTGCTTTCCTGCAGGCCACCTGCCGGCCGTCTTCAGGGTGTGCCCCCGGCCTGCCCTCTCGCTCGGGTTAGCTGTCACACACCCGTCTTCCCACTGAGTGACCCCTCAGAGCACCTGCGTTCCACCGAGGGCGAATTGTGGTTTACCCCGTGATGACCTCTTCCCTCCCACTTTGGACCTCGAGGAAGTTCCTCTTTATTAAAACTTTCCGTAAGGGAATGTTAAAGCACGTGCAAATTCAGAATTGCAAATGGAAGCCTTCGTGCCCATCAGCGGACATCAGCACACCAGCACGACCCCTCTGTGCCACCCGGACACTGTCTGCTGTTCCCTGCACTCGCACTGTGTGCTAGTTTATAGTAATAAACCCCAGATATTACCATTTTGTGTGTAAGTACTTCAGAATATATCCCTAAAATTTAAGCACCATTTCCACCCCTGAAACAATTAATAATCCCTTAATATGATCAGCTACTCAGGTGATATTTATATTTAAAATTCTCAATTGCAGAATCCACTTGATCCGTTTAGGTTTTATAGTATCTACCCTGTGCTTTGCACCAAATACATTTTCAGCAAATACATCATGAAGTAATTAATCAATACAAAATAGCAATGCTTTTGAAACTACGTGGAACACTTTCTTGAATAAAGGACTCTAAATAGAGGGCCCCCGGCGGCTCAGTCAGGGGGACAAGCAGGTCTTCACTTTGGGGTCGCGGGTTCGAGTCCCACGTGGGGGCAGAGATTACTTAAATAGATAAAATGAATAAAGGGTTCTAAATAGAAACCCATGTAACTTTTAGCAACAAATTTGTGAGTTATATGTTGGGATTCGCCATTATTAACACGCGATTGTCATGAAAACACACATTTTAGATACCTGAGGGACATCTACAACACATGTGCCTATTTCAGCACATTTTCGTTACCATTATCCTGAAAGCACTGATTTGCCTTTTAGTGACTTACAGTGTAAGTTTCATTTCGGTTTTATTCTATACAAAGAGATTGTGGCCAGAACATTTGCAGTCTTTTCCTCGCTCGCCGTCTGATGGGGCCCTTTATTATGGATAATGCGTTCATACAGCCTTGCAGAGCACAGCCACAGTATTCAGGAAGACGGGGCTTTGAACTTGCTCGTAGTTGGAGAATCGGAGTAATTGTTCCTTGAGGGTGCCTGTGGTTTCTCCTGCCAACAAAGGAAGTCACAGGTGGCTAAGGGGCTAGGTCCGACTTGAACAGCTGTGTGTGCCCTTTAGTGGCACCCACACGAGGTGCTGTTCAGGACGAAGAAAAGAAGTGGGGGGAAATCCTGCAGTGGCCTTGCTCTGGCCAGACCAGAGTGCTCTGGACGGTGGTGACCGTTGGCATGGCCAATGGCCAATGGCATGGGCTGGCGTGTGTGTGGCTCTGTTGTCTTCCGTTGTGACATGGAGCGTCTTCACTGCGTCCCGTGGGAAGGCTCTCTCCGAGCCGTCCTCGTCCTCCCTGCCCTCCAGGGCCCCCGTCCCCGGCACGGTCCGCCCCACTCAGACGGCGCCTCCCTTGCCGTGTCTCCTTCCACCTCCGCCGTCCCTCCTGGCAGCGCGGCCCCGGCTGGCGGTCCTTCGGTGTCCTGGACCGTGCCAGAGCGGAGGGCGCATCCCCGCGTTCAGTGCTGGACGACAGAGTAGCCCTCCTCATGTGGAGGCTTCTCCTCTCACTTGTACTTCTGTCGCGGTGGTTTCCGCACAGCGGACTTACCCCCTGTGCTCATGCGACGGGCACGCTCAAAGTCATTTTCTTGCTGTCTTTCAGACAGAAACCGTCTCCGCCAGTCAAGAGACCCTCACAAGCACTTTGCCATGGATGTAGAAGAAGAAGAAAACATGAGTAAGACCTGGGCCCATCATGTAGCGTCAAGTAGCTAATTCTCCGTTACCATCGTAGTGTTCTTGTAAATAGTTGTAATGAGACGAATTTGGGAAAAGTGATTTCCTTTCCTGCGAAATGGGCTGCTAACGGTGGCATGTTTTAACTTTCTGATGTGTTCCCTGCAGTAGGTGTTGGTACTTGTGTGGGCACTTTCCTCACAGCCGTCTGTCTGGACCTTCCACTGCCACCGTTCTGGGACCGACACGTGTGTACTAGGAGGGAGAACACGTGTCTCTAGATGCACGTGCCTCACAGCTGCACGGGTTCGTGCCATGTCGCGGCGTGGGTCTCCTACCAGTGGCTGGATTTTCATGTGTGCAAATCTAAGATACCCTTTGGGATTGATTGAAATACTTGGTCATTTGGGAGAATAGTGGCTAAATTTTCCCCTGCAAAGACAGCGAATTCTCCCTGTGCTTTGAGGGAAGGGGGCTCCCGCAAGCCTGCTGATTTTAAGTTTCCAAGACTTCGGCGAGCCTTTGGGCTGCTGTGGACCGGAGCTCACCGTGGGGCCTGCTCTGTCTGCCACACTGTCCCGTCTGTGGAGCAGGGCGGCGAGCCTCAGGGGCACACAGCTCCCCCCACCCCCGGCCCCCCACAATGGTGCTCTCTACCGAAAGAAGTTTGCGGAATGCACTTGTCTCTTCTGTTTTACATTTAATCCCTGAGAGCAGTGCATTTGGATAAGGTTTAAAGGCTCCCACAGAAGTTGGGCCAATGACAGCGAAGACACCATTTTCTGATCTGCATCCTTACTTGCAGCGTCTGGTCGTGCCCAGGGAGGAGCAGGCGGGCATGCACACCGGGTGACTTCATACCGAGACTGGTCACCGTGACTAGAACACCGCTCAGTACGTCTCCCTGTGACTTCTCCCAGGGCCGACCAGCTGAGGCCTTGGGCTTGGGCTTGCGGCCACTTAGGACCCGGAAGCTCAGCGGGCAGGGCGCTCCCGCCTCCTGGGCCGCCGAGCTCTGCAGTGCTCTGGGCCTTGGTTGCACGAACCACACGGAGAACGTGCTCTTTGGCGGTTGCGAGTGTGGGAAAGCACGACTGTGGCGCTGCCCTCCCCCACTGCCTGCAGGGTGCTGTCTTCCGGCTGGTGTCCCCATCAGAGCCTACTCTTAAGGCCTGTTTGGGGCGCAGCCTGTCTTTGCTCGTCAGCTCCACTCACCATGGCCACTGTTGCCCGGGCACTAGCCCCCCGTGAGGACCGTGTGAGCACGTGTCCCCCAAGCCTCCTTTGCTCGGGGCCGCAGGCTGTTGTCCGCCTGGCGTGGGTGGAGACTGCACGGCACGCAGATCCTGTGGTAACTCACCAAGATGAAGGATTCTTCTGGGTGATTTTCCTGAAGGGTGAATGCAGGTTCCGGTCTGGAGGTCTGTGGTGAGGTCCCACATTTCCTACCGTTTGAAAAGCAGCAAAAGATTTTATTGGGTGGCGTTCACGTCCGTGAATTAACGTCGCGCCCACGTCTGCTTAAGAAGAGCTATGATAGCAGGGTCTGTCTGTCTAATTCAGTGTGTGTTTCTTTTACACAGCAGCACCTCTGATAAGACGGGATAGGAGCAGTGTCTGAGTGCTTCTGAAGCAAGTAACAACTTGGAATTTACGTGAACTCTATTATAGGAAGCGTATTTTTTTTTCTTTTACATCTCAAGATTGTTTGTCAATCCAATACTGATCATTTTTATCTCCTAAAGGACAGCCTTTGTTTCAGAGACAGTGAGTCTGTGATGGAACACACTTGCGCATGTGTCCACACGGCCTGATTTTCCATGTCGATAATCCTGTTTGGCAACAGCGTCAGGATGTTTGCAGTCGCCTGACGTGTGACGTTCTTGCCTATTCGTTCACCTAAATTCTGTCTTGCTCTGCCCTTTTTAACCTTTGTTTCCTTCGAGCACCGAAAGGAGTAACCTATCGAGCTTTTGCTGGAGGATGTTATAAATGAAAATTTAGTGTCCATTCCGTCAGCTTTGTCAACTGGGAGAAGTGGTGTGTGTGTTGGGAGTACTGGGGAGTATTTGACGTCTGCAGAGAGAGGTCAGCAGCCTCCCAACCTCCGCCTCCGTGCAGAGTCCGTTTCCCAGGGTCTGGGTTTAAGCCAGGGTTATTCTTTACATCCCAGCTGAGGGCCGGCTGCCCCGGAAGTTTGAGAACTTTCACTTTGGGGATTGGTGGCCGTCAGTTGGACTTTCTGTCCCATTTATCCTCCCGTGTCCACAGTGCTGTTTGCTTAGCGTCACAAGCATCTACTTCTGGATTATGTACCGTGACCCGAGGGCTGCCTTGTCAGGGCACTTGTAAGTTGCTTACATGTGTAAAAATTATTTCGGTTGCTAGCTACATCTTTGAGCGCTAATGAAAGGTCTTCCAGTGCAGTCCCACTGACAGGGCCCCGGTCGTTACTCCTACGCTTCACGCGGCAGACGGCCTATGAAGATGAGCCGGGAAAACAGGGAATTGTTTCTTTCTCTCTTTTTAAAAAAAGCTTAATAAACTTACAGAGAAGAGTAAATGCCTTTTAATTCCCCGGTTTGAAATTAAAATCATATTTATTTCTCCAAACTTAGAGAGTTTTAAAATTATCTTCATTAACTGCAAATAGAAACTACCTTTAAAAGGTGGGATAGGCAGCTTATCCTGTCAATCCGTCAAATATTCGTTTCTTAAAAAAAGACAAAATCGCTGCCTTTACTTGGAAAGTTAGGAAGTGGTAGCCTGTTTGCAGCTTGAGTTTTATGTCTTGTTATGTACTTTTTCCTATCGTGGAATATATTAAGGATTCAGAGATAAATCGATCCCTGTATGTCATGAAAAAATGTGAGTTAATACTAGAAGTGAGGCTGTATCCCTCAGTGATGACATGAGGAGTTTTCCCAGATTGATTCACGGGCTGAATCCAACGAGCGCACACAGTGATCGAATATTCTAACCCTGAAACACTAATTCCTTGTGAGTGCATCTTGTAAGTCCTGGCCCTGCTCCGGGAGGTACTGCGGTCCGGAGCCCGGTGTGGGCGCAGTCAGAGCAAGTGACATTGAAAAGGAGGAGAATGTGTGTCAATACTGACATTGGACTTACTGAGGGAAGCTTTTTCAGGATTAATTTATCACCCCACACCCCGACAAGCTTGAGTAAAGCATCTCTAGGTGCTTCAGAATATTCTTGTAGAAAACAACTGTTTTAAAAATCCACCCTTGAATGCAAAAGCAGTTGGGGACGGTAGTCGCACATGGCGTTGGCCATGAGTTAGCGAAACGTACGGTTGCCCATCTTGGTGCAGGTGGCAGTTCTTGGGTTGAAGGTGCAGCCCTTGCACGTACGGCCAGAGGCAGAGTGAATAAGCACACATCACTTAACCAGTTACAAAGAGAGATAAAGGAATCTATAAATTTTGCATTTACAAGATCCTGCAACGAAGGCGTTGTAAGTTACTCTTTCTGGGCACCGCAGGTTCGAGCAGCACAGATGTTAAGGAAAGCTGCGGTCTGGACAGCGCGCCCCCCACGGACGGCAGCGCCCCCGGGCCTGGCGAGGGCGCCCCGCTCTCCAACGGGGGCGGTGGCGGCACCGGCCGGAAGCGGCCCCTGGAGGAGGGCAGCAATGGCCACGCCAAGTTCCGCCTGAAGAAGAGGAGGCGGCCGCCGGGGCCCGCGCTGCCCAAGAACGCCCTGATGCAGCTGAACGAGATCAAGCCCGGCCTGCAGTACGCGCTGCTGTCGCAGACGGGGCCGGTGCACGCGCCTCTGTTCGTCATGTCCGTCGAAGTGAACGGGCAGGTGTTCGAGGGCTCCGGCCCCACCAAGAAGAAGGCCAAGCTGCACGCCGCGGAGAAGGCCCTGCGCTCTTTCGTTCAGTTCCCCAACGCCTCCGAGGCCCACCTGGCCATGGGGAGGACCCTGTCCGCCAACACGGACTTCACGTCCGACCAGGCTGACTTCCCCGACACGCTCTTCAACGGCTTCGAGACCCCGGACAGGTCGGATGCGCCCTTCTACCTGGGCTCCAACGGGGACGACTCCTTTAGTTCCAGCGGGGACCTCAGCTTGGCCGCGTCCCCGGCACCCGCCGGCCTCGCGCAGCCTCCCCTGCCCGGCCCTCCGCCGTTCCCGCCGCCGAGCGGGAAGAACCCCGTGATGATCCTGAACGAGCTGCGGCCGGGGCTCAAGTACGACTTCCTGTCGGAGAGCGGGGAGAGCCACGCCAAGAGCTTTGTCATGTCTGTGGTGGTGGACGGCCAGTTCTTCGAGGGCTCGGGCCGGAACAAAAAGCTCGCCAAGGCCCGGGCTGCGCAGTCTGCCCTGGCGACCATTTTTAATTTGCACTTGGATCAAACACCGTCTCGCCAGCCCATCCCCAGCGAGGGCCTTCAGTTGCATTTACCGCAGGTGAGGAACTGTGGTGCTGCCGGAACGGTGGCCGTGTCTTGGCAGTGCTTTCAGACAGGGCTTCGCTCCTCTTTGTCGCTGTTGGCGCCCCGTCCGCGCGTCACCGGTAAGTCTGGCTCCAGGTGTCCCTGCCCTGCCCGCACCGGTTGTGCCGGGCCGCCCGTCCGGGGCCATCACACGCGGGCGGGACCCACAAAACCCTGTCCCCCAGAGCAGTGCCGTTCGCGCCCTCCAGGCTGAGCCCTGCCCCACTTTGCACGGCAGCCCGTGTGGCTCCCTTCCCACACCGTCCGCCTCTGTGGGGACCCGCGTCCCACAGCAGCCTGTGACCAGAGCACGGGGACCACATCCCAGGTCAGCGGTGCTCCCTGCAAAGTCTCACCGGAGAGTCCCGAGCACAGAAGTGAGGCTGCCCGCGTCCGGGTCAGGGCGGGTGTCCCGCAACTCTGACGGTCCCCAAGGCCAAGGGCCAGCCAGGCAGAGGGCGCACCGTAGCAGGTCTGTGAGCCTCTCAGAGGTGGGAGAAGGAAGGGGACCCTTTGGTGGCACTCCAGGGGCCCGGGAGTCCGTACCTGGGATCCGTGCGGGCTTCCCTCCTGCTGGGCTGGAGGTAGGTGGCCACACTTGCTTGGCCTAGGACGGCCCTCCCGCGTAAGACCAGGGTGGAGACAGGATTTCAGGGCGGGCTCCTGGCTGACTCGAAAAGGGAAGAGAGGAGGGGGAAACAGCTGTAGCTGACATCTCTAAATCCTACGACTCTGATTACGTGTTGCTTCTCTTCTTGGAAACCCAGGTTTTTTTCTGGCCTAGTGTAAAAATTACTCTTTTAGAGAGAAAACCTGATGACTTTCTCTATTCCTTTTTGTCAAACTATTACTATTAAAGATAAAATCTGAAATGGTTTGATGGGAAAAAAATGAAGGGCTCCAATTGCCACATGGGACAACTTGCATCTGTCTCAGAAGAATCCAGGATGCAACAGCTTCCCAGTTGTCTTTGGACACAGTCAGGGTAACCTCCCGAAATGGCCAGTAGTGCAAGGTTTTGGAAAAAGAAACTTTATTTTGCCTAGAGCAACCAAATGCGACGTCAGTATAAAGTAACCCATTCAGAATATTCTACTGGTCTTTTATGAACCAAAGAATCACTTCCCCTCTTGACCCCTTGCTGACATTTTCCAGAAGATTCCACAAGCCGGCCCCGTAGAGAGGATGTATTTCGGGCTTCCGTGGCTCAGTGCACTCCAGCTTGGGTGCAGATTAGCGTCTGAGGCCACCTGACTCCTGTGGCGCCTGCTGTCGTGTTTGAGGTGAACCCCGTGAGCCCCACATGCCTGGGTTGGCTGCAGGCTGGCTGGCTGCCCCACGGCAGGGAGCAAGACGGGGGTCCCTGAGCGCACTTACCCCTGATCCCCGGCCTGGCCCCATGCTTCTGCTCCACCGGGGGCCCCGGGGGGCCTCACTGGGGAGGGGCGTCTATGGGAATCCTGTGTGAGGGACAGGGTGGGGTGCTCTCAGCCCTGCCTGATGCCACTTGCCTGGAGTTCTTGCGGGCGCCCAGTGGTTGTCTCTGAACCTCTGGTCGGGGCCCAGGGGGCCTGCAGGCGTGGAGCTAGGTGTCCTGTCTCTGCTCACAGCGCACCCACCGTGGTGTCCCTGGAGGCCCCTCGGGAGCTCATGCTTTCCTGGGAGGGCCTGGGGTGGCCTTCGCAGAATCAGCCCTTACAGCTTTATCTCTGGACTGTGTTGCCTTTGGCCCGGAGGTTTCCAGACGTACATCCTGGAACGGTGAGCATCCTCACTGCTTTCCTGGAGTAACCCTTGAGGGCGTGGGGCCGGCCCTCCCTGCTCGTAGGACTTTTCACCTTCATCGTGTTCCTGGTGGTGGCCCAGGGTTTAAACCCAGAGATGCGGCCGCAGCCCCTACCGGTAGTGGATTTTGTTAACGCGGCACAACCAAGCGGCCAGCGCCACAGCCAGCCTTGAACCGGGGCCTCGCAGCTCCTGGGCGCTGCCTGGGGCCGTGGGGACACAGGTGTGATTCGTGTGGCGCCCGATGTGCAGAGGGAGACTCTCTTCCTTACTTGTAGGAATGAGATCACAGTCTCTTTAAGGGGAAGAAAAACTGTCCGGGTGCCCCAAGTGCCTGCCTCTCACGAGTCCGTGTCACCGTAAGGGCCCGACCTGCACATCTCTGAGCTCCGTGGTTTAGAACTTTGCCAAACCTTCCATCAGACGCTTTCCTTTTCTCTGGCTTATCCTTAGCCTCTCTTAGGATTTGTTCTTTTATATAAGTTGGAACACGTGATCCTTACTCTGATAGCCTCACCACCGTGTGGCCTGCAGCCACGTGTGTGGCGTGGACCCTCCGCGTGGGACGGGGGGCGGGGAGGGGGGGCCTGCTGCCCTGCGTCCTGTGTCCACGCCCACGCCTCTGGCTCGAGCGCAGTCTTCCTGGGCTCCCTGGTATTTTCCGGTGCAGCAGCAGGAGAGCTTTCATGGCAACTTTTGTTCTTCAGAATAAGTCGTCATTCGGGATGCGGGACGTGTCTGTTCATCTGGGGAGTGTTTTCCTAGGGGCCAAGCCGGGACACTGGATCCGGCCGTTTGGTTGCCGAGACAGGTGTGGGTTCGGTGGGGACACGGCTCTTCACACATGCCCCCGTCAGGCGGCATCTCCCCAAACCCTGATACCCGAGATGAGTTGTGAGCCGTGAAGGTGGGACTGTGGCCACGCTCTGCCGGGTGTGTCTGCTCCTGAGCAGCGTCCTCTGGTGCAGGCTGTGGGCATGGAGACATGCCAGGCGCCCTCACCCCTTCCCTCGGAGAGCTGGTGCTGCCCGCGGCCGGTTGGGCCGAGTGAGAAACGCCCTGCGGGACGCTCGTGAGCGCTGGTTTCTGGGCAGGCAGGGCGGCTGGTTTGCACGTTGGAGAAACCGAGGCACGAGAGGCTGGCTGGCTGGCTGCCCCACGGCAGGGAGGAAGACAGGGGTCCCTGTGGGCACTCGCACCCTGCTCCCCGGCCTGGCCCCAGACGCCTTGTGGGAACTGCCGTGGGGCTCGGGCTTCCACACACCGCCCCTGTCCTTGCCCTGATGTTCCCTGGCCCCGCCGGCCCTCCAGCCGATGGCAGCCCTTCCGTGTTGAGGGAAAGAAGCACTTTCGTTTCCTTCACAAGCCCTGATGCTCCCGGGAGTGTGGCCCCGGAGTCTGGGAGAGCCTGGTGCAGAGCAGAGGGCGTGCGGGGCAGGTGGCCCGGGGTGGCCTCGCTTCCCTCGTCCGAGGGGATCCCGGTGGACCAGACGGGTGGCACCGGTTCTGGACCGTCCTTGTCTGTGAGATCCGTTGAAGGAGTCCATCCAGAGCCTCAAATTCCTTGGACCTCTGTTTCCGGGGAGCGTTCTGAAGGGAAAGCACACAGACACACACACACACTCACTCACACGCGCTTGTTTGCCAGATTTCCCTGTGTGGTTTTCCAAAAGAGAAGCCGTCTATGAGGCCACTCTGAAGGGACCACTGTGTTGGTGTGCACAGGGTGGGTGCGGGCCGCGCCCCTGACTCCCTGCTGTGGTCCTCAGGTGTTAGCGGATGCCGTGGCTCGCCTGGTGCTGGATAAGTTCGGTGACCTGACGGACAACTTCTCCTCTCCTCACGCACGTAGGAAAGTTCTTGCCGGCATCGTCATGACAACAGGTAAAACATTGGGGTGCCTTTCTTCACGCCTAAAAAAGAGGGGAAGATGGTCAGACTGTGACCATCTCTGGGACCCTAACGGGAACTATCTTCCTAATTCTTCAGAGTCCTTGTCATATGCAAACGTAGGAATTGCACCTACAAATGTTCAGTTTCTTAACCTCAGTTTTTTATTTGGAGACGGCACACTATATTAATGTCTGGTTCCTGTAACCATAAATGAGTGGTTTTGATCTACTCTGGAAAAGGGCAGCAAAATGCACTTCTGTCATTTGAAAGTGGGACGTATCTGACTTCCCAACTAATGGTCATGCCTCCAGATAGTTTGTGCGTGACTTTTATCGGGCAGACGAGCAGCTCTAGCAAGAGCAGAAATTGCTTGGGTAAAAAGCACTCTTTGGGATGACACATGAAACCCTATTAAATGAACCCAGAAGTCCCAGCAGGACAAGGCGCCCTCTGAGTTCTTTCCCTCACCCGGGGGTGAGAACGCTCAGCAGCTCCTGCTCCTGGACCACCCCAAGAGCAGGAGGCCACAGCCGTGCCCCCTGCTGGGTCCCTGCAGCTGGCCAGGCTGGGGCTGAGTCTGAGGCTCCTTGTGGGGCCCTCTACACTGAGTTGTCCACTCAGCCCCGCTGGCCGTGTGCAGACATCCGGCCCTTGGGCCAGAGAGCAAGCCAGTGGTTTACCTGTCTACACCTGCCGGCCAGGGAGAACACCTCAGTCCTCTGTGGGGTCCCTGCTCCGTCCTTTTCTCCCGATGTTGCTCTCCTCTATCTGATTGTGGACAGGATGTGATTCCATGACCTTTGGCATTGATCCAGCCCTCGATGCCCTAGGACACGTGACTGCTGCTTTAATGATGATGGCTTTTCGTGCACGATGTGTTTGCCGTGGCACAGCTGAGAGTGTGTCTGCGGTAGCATGAAGGGCTCTGGACGTGACCTGGGGTCCCAGTTTAATTTGGGGTTTGAAGCCTGTGTTGTCTCCGTTTCTCCCTCTCTCTCTGCTGCTGCTCTCGACATGCCCGAGGGGTGAATGCTTCAGCTACTGACATGCAGCGTTCCCGGGGCGAGGCTCTGGGCCTCCGCCAGCGGCAGGCGTGAGCAGCGGGCGGCCCTTCCGTGCGGCTCTCCTCCTGGGCTCAGGGGCCGCGGACCGGCTCCCAGGGCGTTTTGCATCGTGGTGTGTGCATCTCACTCGGGGCCTTTGCTCAGCACCACAGTTTACGCCTGCAGGCAGCACCACACAGCCTTTGGCCCGTGGCCTTGACGTCACCTGGCCTGCTTCAGCTCGGGCTCCCCGTGGTTGAATGACCCTGGGCAGGCTCTGACCCCTCTGGGCCTCAGGACCCTCATCTTTGAGACGGAGACAGTGGTCGCGTGCCCCTCAGAGGACCCCACAGGACTGAAGTGAAACCCTCACCTAACTACCTCTTGGGGCGCACGCCCTGCACTCAGCTGATAGCAAGTGCGGTTTACCGTCAGGCTTTCCAGGCCTTGCCCCGCGCCTGTCAGGGTGGACGCGTTTCCCGTGCCCAAAGTCCCCAGCAGGCTTCACTCCCAGTACAGTTAGATGGTGACAGGCATTCCTAGGCAGGACACTGTGAGTTACTTCTCTTTTCCTCCTCATCCCTCTGTGAGCCATTCCTCGTACCCTCCTTAGTGCTTTGCTATTAATTTCAAAACTAACTGCCAGACCGGTTAGTTGACCCTTACCCGGTGCTCCCTACCTGTACCCAGCGGGGCCGCGTCCAGAGGAAATGAGTCCCTTAGGTTCAGAGTCTGTGCACTAGAGGGGCAGGGAGGTTGGCTTCCCAGAAACGTTGCACAGCGAGTCCTCAGCGGGAAGTGCTTTGCGGAGCCCGGGTCTGCCCTGGTAAGAAGTAGGGGCGGGTGTGCGCGTGAAGATGGGCTGAGTGGTCGGCTCACAGCCCGGAAGGGAAGTCGCTGAGAAGGCACGCAGACTCCGGGAGCACAGGTAGGCACGCGTGCCTGTGCCTTCGGAGGAATAATGTCTCGTTTGTTTTTCAGGCACAGATGTGAAAGATGCCAAGGTGATAAGTGTCTCTACGGGAACAAAGTGCATTAATGGCGAGTACATGAGTGATCGTGGCCTTGCGTTAAATGACTGCCACGCGGAGATAGTAGCTCGGAGGTCCCTGCTCAGATTTCTTTATACACAGCTTGAGCTTTATTTAAAGTAAGTTCACTAAGTAAATCGCTAAGGGGAGCAGTTTTCAAAAAATATTCCCCTCCCATCAGAATGTACTGCAAAACCTTTCGTTGTTTCTATAATCTCCGAAAAACTCTTTAATTAAAACAGTAACTTTATTGGCAGCAGTGCGGTTGGGTCCCATTTTCCCATGAGGCTCAAGGTACAGACGAGAGCTGGCCAGGTGCCACACACACGCACGTGCACCGACCGCTGACGCAGTCGTAGATCTGAAAAGTCTGTTCGAGACCGTGTGCTTGTGTCTTGTGCAGCATGCGTGTGAGCAGAACTAAGCCACCTGGGACCATGGCCACCCATCGTGGTCACCGTACACAAAGACAGCAGGCCAACTGTCTAAGCTACTTTCCTTTATGCACCCGTCTCTGTGTGTCGTCTGTTTTGAAGTCCTAAATGAGGAGGAGGGGAGGTCACTCGCATTCCGATAACTTGTTCATTATTGAGTGGACAGGAGCTGTGTTCCTTATCATAACATGCAGATGTTCTCGTTGCAGCTTATCTGTACCCTGGTGAAAACACTGGCCTCTGAAAGTCATCGTCAACTATGGTAGACTAAACTTTGTCAACAGCTTTAAAGTTCCTTTTTGCAACTTTTTTCCTTCCAGTAGCAAAGACGATCAAAAAAGGTCCATCTTTCAGAAGTCAGAGCGCGGCGGGTTCAGGCTGAAGGAGAGCGTTCAGTTCCATCTGTACATCAGCACGTCTCCCTGTGGGGACGCCAGAATTTTCTCGCCGCACGAGCCGATTCTGGAAGGTACGAGATCCAGTGCTCAGCAAGTAGCAACGTCTCGAGGAGATTGGTGATTGCGTAGTAACAGATGGAAGAGTAAACTTGCGTGAATGTCCTTTTCTCCCTTTTTTTGAAGAGTTTCACCTTGAAAGTTATCTGATAGGAATATATAAAAGCAGGAGATTTTTCTCTTCCACTAGTAATTTAGTTAGAAAATCTTAATGAAATATGTTGATTCTGATATACTGAGGAATTAGAATAGAGTGAGGATATCAAACAACATTGCTTTTAGTATTTAAATTTGGACAGTCTGTATCTGTACATCGGAGGTGCGCATCATCTGTGTTTGTGATGAACTGTGACTCGATGCGTGTGTACCTGGGGTATTTGGCTGAAATTTCAGAAGCAGCACAGACCAGTGCAAAGGGGGCCCTGTCGCATCACATTTGCCTCCACCCGTGTTTGCATATGAGGTTGGTGCTTGTATTTGATAGTAACTTGTGTCCTCATGTCTTTTCCCCAGCTTAAGCATTATTTAATGCAAAGACAACATTTGAGTGCATGATTTTCTCTGGTTATGAAAGTAACACATTCTCGCTCTGGATGGTGGCTACATATTTTTAAAATATTAAGAAAAAATGTCAATCCCTCATATTCCTGTAACCCAGAGACAATCACTTTAGATGTTTGTGCATGTGCTTCCCTCTGCATTATTTATGCATCCCCATAATATATTTTTGAAAATTTAAAAATGCAGGGAAAAAACGTAACAAACACTCAAATATCCATCCGCTAGAATTAGCGAATGTCAGCATTTTGTCCTGTTTGCTTCAGCTCATTTTTAATGATAGAAAGTAAACATTTTGGTTAAAATGGAAGCGCTCTTTAGGATCTACTTCCACGACTTTGGTTTGCATTGTGCCTTTCCTGCCCAGGGCCCCGTGCGGTTGTCACTTACCGGGTAGAGAGAGCACGTGCCACACAGGCCCCAGGGCCCCGTGCGGTTGTCACTTACCGGGTAGAGAGAGCACGTGCCACACAGGCCCCAGGGCCCCGTGCGGTTGTCACTTACCGGGTAGAGAGAGCACGTGCCACACAGGCCCCAGGGCTCCATGCGGTTGTCACTTACCGGGTAGAGAGAGCACGTGCCACACAGGCATAAACTCGACTTTAAATGTGTAGGGGCTGCTGCACTTGTTTGCCGTGAGGAGAGGAGAGGACTTTCACCTGGCCTTCCTCTCCTAGAACCAGCGGACAGGCATCCAAACCGCAAAGCCAGAGGACAGCTGCGGACGAAAATAGAGTCTGGCGAAGGCACGATTCCAGTGCGGTCCAACGCCAGCCTGCAGACGTGGGATGGGGTGCTGCAGGGCGAGAGGCTGCTCACCATGTCCTGCAGCGACAAGATGGCCCGGTAAGGCTTCCCACCCGCGGGCTCCCGCAGGCGCCGTCCACCGCTCTGGGCCTGGTGTCGTCTGCGTGTCCTGCCCCGGGCTCCTGCGTCCTCTGTGGGACCGGGGCCCCACCCAGGGTGTCGGGGGCCACCTTGAGGGGATCGAGCTGGGCCTTGGGCTGCCGTCCTTCAGGCTGTGTCTCTGCCTCGCCCTTGCGTTTGTGCGTGCACTTCCGGGGCATTGGGGCATCTGTGTGCTGCAGATAGTTTGCTCCCAGGGGCGCCTGGGGGGCTCAGTCAGTTCAGCGTGACTCTTGATTTTGGCTCAGGTCATGATCCCAGGGTCATGGGATCGATCCCCGCATCGGGCTCTGCACTGAGCATTGCACCTGCTTGGGATTCTCTTTCTCTCTCCCTCTACCTCTCTCCCCTGCTCATGCTCCCTGTCCTTCCCTCCCTCCCTCTCTCTCCTTCTCTCCCTCTCTCTTTCTCTCTCTCTCTCTGAAAAAAAAGTTGTAAAATGGTTTGATCCCAGAGAAAACTAAAACTAAGAGTGTTCTCATTCTTGGTAGATGCCAGCTTAGTGGTCCTGTTCCCCACAGTTACCATTTGGGGTTTCTGTGAGTGCAGAGAGTCCCTAGCATCCCGTGTTGGGGGTGGTGGCTTCCAGTGAGGCTGGGGTGACTGAGACACACCAGTTTGTGTTTGCTTGACAGAGGCTCTTTCAGATAAAGATGTGTCCGGGCCAGATTTTAGAAGGCCTCATTTCGTCAGAGGCTGGTGTTAGTTCCAGTAGCTTTTTGTTTATTTTTTTAACAAACGTTCACTTGAAAAAAAAAGGGCAAGTAATGTAGGTAAGTGCGAGAACTTGGATGGCACAAAAGCATATTAAGACAAAGATCGCCTCCTTGTTCAGAGCTCTGCTGTGCGGCTCATCGTGATCGGGTTCTTGACTGCTCTTCCAAAACTGTCACAGTTGACGTGCATGTATGTGCACGCATGTACCTGTTCGGTTGTCTGTAAGGTCTTTGTATTGACTTTCTTGCAAGGACCTTGTCAGAGAGCCTCAGGTACACAGAACTTGAATCAGCATATGCTGTGGTCCATTGCCCTTAAGTACAGGTGCACACTGAGCCCACCTTGATGAATTTGCTTTCTATGTGTCCTTCCTGTCCACCATCCATTCACTTGTGTGTGTGTGTGTGTGTGTGTGTGTGTGTGTGTGTGTGTGGCCTTGGAAAAATACATGGTGGTGTCATTTTAGGGTATTTATGTGTATGTTAATTCATAGAAACGGAATTGTGTTTTAGGTGCTATTCTGTGTCTCGTAGTTTCATTCAACCCAGTGTTTGGACACTGTCCCCGATGCGGTGACAGACAGCTGGTTTCTGCAGAGACCCTGCCATAGTCATGGCTGTGCTGTGTCCGTGCTCTCACCATAGAGACTTGGGTCTGCTCTCTCCACCACAGCACAGCCTGGAGTTTTCGTGAGCGTGGCTTGTCATAGACCTTTGCCGTCCAGGGTCTCTGCTGCACACGTGTAGAACTTCACGGGTCTCTGCCGCGCCCAGAAGGGTCACGCCTGTGTATGCTTACACCGACGGTGCGTGAGGCTGGTTTCTGCCTCATTTCAGAACTGCTCTGTGGGGTGTGGAGCGGCTGTGCAGTCGTTCATCTTTCTCATTGGAGTTACCTGTTCACACCGTCTGCCCACTCGTCTTCTGGGTCTCATGCTTTTTGTCATCTCGACCGACAGAAGTTCTTGTTGTAGCTGCTATTGCAGTCTTTGATGGTCGGAGAAGGTTCCGTGTCTTCTCCAGTCCACACCCCTGTCTTCACTTGGTCCGTGCCATGCTCTGAGGAGAAACGCTTCGTTTTGTTAGAACCTTACCCATTAATCTTTCACCCTGTGATTTGTACTTTTAGAATCTTATTTAAGAAATTCCTCCTCAAATTAAGGGCATGAAAATATTCTCCCGTACTTTTTTCCAAAATTTTTATCATTTTACTCGCAAACATTTGTGTTGTAAATAATAATGTGGCTTTACTACTTTAGTATGGTGAGTCAGTTTTCCTGGGACCGTCTACTAAATAATCGAGACCCTCTCCTTTGATCTGTGAAGGCGTCCCTGTAATATACTGAACTCCCTTACAAAGACGGGGCTGCTCCTAGGCTCCTAGCCTCTCGAGTCTCTATAATCCAGTGTACTTGCACAGGTTCCACAGTTTTTACACTTCTGACATTTTAGTGTGTTTAAAGGTCTGGTTGGATAAGACTGTTCTTCATCCTTCTCTCATCACACTTGTAGCTTTTTACGAGCCTCTGTTCTTCTGTACATATTATAGAATCGGCTTCTCAGGTGCATACATGTCTTGCTTAGATTTTATATGGAATTGTGGAATTATGGATTGAAAGGGAAAGAATGAACATAAAGTTAAATCAGTCCCTCCATGAGTATCATGTATTTTTCCATACATGAACTGTCATCTGGGTCAGTTATATGCCAGGCAGTTTTGACAGATTAATTCCTAGAACTTCATACTTCCTATATTCATGTGAGAATTATCTTATTATCTATTGTGTATTCTGGATAATTGTTGCTGATGTACACGAACACGATTTATTTTTATTGTGGCAAAAAACACGTGATGTAAAATCTATCACATTAACCATTTTTTAAGAGTTTATATATATATACTTTTTAATTTAATTTTTTTTTAAATTTTTTAAAATGTTTATTTTTGAGAGAGACAGAGCATGAGCAGGGGAGGGGCAGAGAGGGAGACAGAATCTGAAGCAGGCTCTGCGCTGTCAGCGCAAAGCTCAGTGCGGGGCCCGAACTCACAGACTGTGAGATCATGACCTGAGCTGAAGTCAGACACTTAACCGACTGAGCCACCCAGGTGCCCCAAGAGTTTATATCTTTAAAAAGCAGTTTTGGGTTCACAACAAAATTAAGAGGAGTGTACAGAGATTTCCCATATACTCTGTGTCCCCGCACACGCACACCCCCCAGAATGTGCATCTGTTCCAATGATGAACCTGCCCGGATACATCATAGTCACCCAGAGTCCGTAGTTTACGTGAGGCTTTACTCTGCGTGTGGCACGTTCTCTGGGTTTGGGCAGTTACTTAATCATGTGTATTTGTCATTAGGGTGTCATAAAGAGTATTTTCACTGCCTTGAAAATCCTCTGTGCTCCACCCTGTCACCCCTTCCTCTCCCCAGCCCCTGACAACCCCTGAGCTTTCTGTTGTCTCCATGGTCCCGCCTTTTTCAGAACGTCACACAGATAGAATCATACAGGATGTAGCCTTTTCAGATTGGCTGCTGTCACTTAGTGAAATGCACTTGCGGACCCTCCATCTTCATGGCGTCTTCGTGGTGTCTTCATGGCGTGACGGCCTGCTCCTTCTTAGTGCCGAATACCATCCCATTGCCTGGACGCACCCGTGTGTTTGCCCGTCACCTCCCAAAGGACACCTTACTGGTTCCCAGCGCTGGCAGTTCTGTAAACCATCTGTGTGCAGGTTTGGTGCGGACCTACATTTTGAGCTCCTTTGAGTAAATACCAATGAGTGTGATCGCTGGGTCACGTGGTAAGAATATGTTCAGTTTTGTAAGAAACTGTGAAAACATGTAGAGAACTACTAAAAATCGACAACAGAAAACCTGATTCAAAAATGGATGAAGGACTTGAAAAGCCGCGTCTCCGGGAAGATGCACCGACGGCCAACAAGTGCAGGAAGATGTCCCCGATCGGCCGGGACACGCGGACCAAAACCACAGCGAGACACCCCCTCACACCCATGGGGATGCCCCCGCCAACAAAACAGGACAAGACAGAAGATGACAAGTGTTGGCGAGGACGTGGAGAGCTTGGAACCCTGAGCGCGGCTGGTGGGAATGTAGATGGGGCAGCCGCTACGGGAACAGTGTGGCGACTCGTCAGAGTGCTAGCTAGAACTGCCATGTGACCCAGCCATCCCACTTCTGGGCATTCGCCCCAACAACTGAAAGCGGGGTCTCCAGCAGATTCTCGCTCACTCGCGTTCACTGCAGCGTTCTTCACAGGAGCCCAAACGTGATGGCGTGTCTGTCTGTTAAGATCTTTGGCCCATTTTTAAAAACATGGTAGTTTGTTTTCTTGTTGAGTTTTAAGAGTTTTTCACATGTTTTAGATAACAGTCACTTATCAGATTTTTCTCCCAGCCTGTGACTTGTCTGTTCATCCTGTGGACGTTGGTCTTACCCAAGCCGAAGTTCTAAATTTTAATGCAGTCCAACTCATCAATGTTGTCTCTCGTGGATTGCACCCTCGGTGCTGTATGTACACTCATCACCATATCGAGGTCACCTAGGTTTTCTCCTGTGTTATTTCTAGGGGGTTATGGTTTTGCATTCTGCATTTAGGTCTGTGATCCTTGTGAGTTAATTATCATGAAGGGTGTAGGATCTCTGTCCAGATTCACTTTTTTGCACATGGGTCCTCGGTTGTTTCAGCACCACTTGTTGAAGAGACTCTATTTGCTCCCTGCGTTGCCTTTGTTTTTTGTCTAGGATCGGTTAACTGTGTCTATGTGAGTCTGTTTCTGGGCTTTCTGTTCTGTCCCCTTGATCTATTCGTGTCTTGATTGCCGTTTGGATTTTGAATCCAGTTCTGTCGTATGTGTCGGGGAGGAATTGGTTCCTCACATTCTAACGAGGACAGGAGCCGGGTGGCCTCCAGTTGGCCTGTGCTTCTAACCAACCAGCTGTAAATTGGAGGTCTCAAGGACCTCCTCCTTGGATTCGGTTAACTTGCTAGGGTGACTCACGGATCTCAGAGAAACATCTCCCCCACTAGATCACTAGCTTATTATAAAAGGATATAACTCAGGAACAGCCAGATGAAGAGACGCAGAGGGCGAGGCATGGGGAGAGGAGGGTCAGGGAGCACCCACGCCGTCTCCAGCCGTGCTGCTCTCCTCACATCCACACACCCACCAACCCGGAAGCTTCAAATCCTGTCCTTTGCAG